AGTGTAAGCTCAGAGTAGATTCGACATGGCGCCCTCTAGAGGTTGATATTCACAGTTTTTCACATTAATATTGCCCTCTAGAAGATATTGCAGAGCATGGAATAAACTTTTGGTTTGTATATCTGCAGAGACAATGACTCTAAGTTTTCTATTGTTGGATCTCCGTACTGGATGGCACCTGAATGTTTGAAAGGACTTAAGTACAATGAGAGGGTGAGTTTAATTGTAATATACTGTAAAACATGTTGAAAAAGCGAGATGCAATTTTAGCAAATTGTGGTAAAATGATGTAATAGCGAAATATTGATTTAGCGAATCTCTCTTGTCATTGTTTATTTCCTGTCTTCACAATACTTGTCTGATGCGTACCAAAACAAATGCACAGTTATCACCTCCATAAAAACAAAGAAAAACTGTCTAGTGTAATTATGAAGCGCCCTAGAGTTTTATGTTCCGGATTACTATATACAAATCCCCAAGCCTTGGCCATTTTGAATTTTAAGTCATTAGCAACATCTTGAATTAGCGAATCAGTTCTCTCTCTTGCTAAAAAGACATGCTCGCGAAAAAAGACATGTTTTACAGTACACTGGCTTTTTGAGATTGTATAACATATGGGAGAGAAGAATTCCATTATAAACAAGGAAACGTCTTCTTCACCCATCCTATTTATACTCGTACAAACATGCCCTGTCTTGTTAGCAAGGTTAGATGATTGTTATCTGTTATTTGGTTTACATCATATTACTTAATTCTTTATCTCACCAATATTTTGGTACAATATTTTTAGACCCTGTTTTGAGGTAATCTGAAAACAAGGACTTACAATTTAACCTCTGTGTTTGTCTGCATCTGAATCTCAGACATGTAAATTTCATACACTTCACATATCATACATATATCATATCATATATCATGTCATATCATATCATATCATATCATATATCATATCATATATCATATCATACATCATATATATCATATATATCATATCATATATCATATCATATACATAGTCACATGCATTTGTATCATGATCCAATTCAAACTTGAACAAATAGTAGCCATTTTAGTTTAACATTTCAGCCATATCAGAACTGAATCTATGTTATGTATGGACATGTTTCATTCAAACTTGATATGTCAATTGAAAATATTTGATCCTGGATGCACCTCATATTCCTCCCACAGCAAATTCAAAATGACCAACTGACAGTCATTTTGTTTTAGCAAATAAGTCTTGTCTGGTCTTATTGGACACAAAAAGCACACAAATAAACTGGCTTCAGTTTGTATCATTTCTGTCATAAAAATATAAACTGTAATACCACACTATTGTTGTAATCATTCTAACCATATCATTTAATTAGGTCATTGCTTTTTTCTGCAAATGCATGAGATTGTTTCTTTCACACATAATTCATTTTTAGAAAAGTACCAACAGGGACTATGACATTTTGAGTAGCTTGTATTCTAAGACCAAATACTCATAATTTTATTGAAAATATCACAAGTGGTGATTGGTTCCTGGGCACTCACTAGATTTCTCCTCTTAGTAAATGTGTTAATTGAGAACCGAAAACAAAAAATGGCAAATATTTCTCATCATAAAATGTACATCAATATTCATCTTGATATTGTTTGTAAATTTTGAAATTTTTTTTTTAATTTACTGCAGAGAAAGCATCGAAGTTTAACCAATGTTGATTTGATACTTACTTGATTAGATCAATCAGCAAAATAACAAAAAACTAAACCCATAGAAAAATTAATTATTATATTTAATAGAGATCTACATTAATTTTGCAAACAAAATAAAAGCCCTGTGATTAAAATTAAAATTGTCCTTAACATAAAAAAACTTTTTGTAATTGTATTGCTATTTTTAGCTCCGCTGTCGACTTTGACGAGCGGAGCTTATCATATGAGTGATTGTCCATCGTCCGGCGTCCGTGTCAATGTTTTACTTTTTCGACTTCTTCTTGAAAACTACAAGCCTGAATGCTTTGATACTTGGTGTATATGTACCTTGGGTAGACCTCTCTCAGATTTGTTCATTTCATGATCATATCTTCAATTCTCTAATTTTGGTGAATATTTTTGTCATTTTTGGTAAAAAGTGATATTTTCGACTTCTCGTTAAAAACCGCAAGTATAATTACATTGATATTACATATATAGGTACTACATGTGGATCTCTCTCAGATTTGTTCATTTTGTATGATATCTTTAGTTCTTAATTTTGGTGAATATTTTGTCATTTTTGTAAAAAGTGATATTTTCACTTCTTGTAAAA